ATGTTTCCTTCGCTACTCAAGCTTGGTCGAATATTGGGAGAAGACTAGAGGCAGAACCCTTAAATCTGTTCCTGCCTTCCTATTTAAGAGGCAATTTGGTAAGCTGATGTGGACAACTTAAAAGTCTTAAATGAAAAACCAGACAAATTAAGAAAACACTAATTCCAAAATGAAAGATGTATATAAGAGACAGCAATCAGGCATAAGCCAGTTGAAGCTCTGAAAACGGCGCTTGAAGGTTCTCCTCCGGCGACCCGAGATGAGCGTTGCAAGGTTTGAAAAAGATAATAATTTTATTGCTCCTCTTACTATTATGAATCTTATTTTGAGATTTTTTTGGAAATGGTTTTCTTTGGATCTGTTTCTGTGGCAGTCAGCGAATTGGATAGTGGTACATAGAGCATTAATGGCTATAAAGGATGTAGAAGGCATGTTCTCTTCTTTGGATCCCGAGTACTATGATATTCTTATGAAGTAAGTCTTCTTCTTTAAGTTTGATTTCACTTTCAATTTTCGTTCTTCCATTCTTGTTCCTCATTTCTATATGAATCTCCATTAGGAAATGCTTCTATGGCATTGGAAATAATCAGATAGCCTTTGTTAGGTATAAGTTTCTTATTATGTTTAGTGCCCTATGTTAACTGACATGTGAATTATCCTCCTTGTGTAATTCACATGAAAAGCATTTGAAATAATCAGATACCCTTTGTTAGGTAGAAGTTTCTTATTATGTTTAGTGCCTCATGTTAATTGACATGGTAATTATCCTGCTCCCGTTATTTATTTTATTTGTTTTGGCCTTGTGAGATTTCAATGTGCATCAATACCTGCACAATGCTCCTGTTGATTGACATGTGAATTATATTGCTCTGGTTTATTCAAGGCAAAGGATTGTGGGAATTGAAGACACATGAGTTTCTTTACTTCATGAGTTGGATCTTGTTGAAAATTCTTGTTAGTCTTTCCTGTTTTCATTTTTCCTTCTTGTAAATGCTATAACATTGAACAATTATTGCACTCGACATATAGCCCCCACAGTGCACTAGGAGAGATTTGACCCCTTTGACAGTTGGGGATCAATGATCATACCTATGCAGCACTTGTCCTTGCCAAAGTTTCTTACTTTTAATGTGATCCTCAGTCTTTTACTTATAGCAAAACTTTCAATTACTCTTCTTGTTTTGAACAAATTTACACAGTTTTTGCTCCACCCCCCCCCCCCCCTCTCCTCTTTTAGGCAATTTGTTAGCATAAAGACATGCTTGCTTTGGAGATTAAAGTAGTTTTGTTGTCTGTCTTTCTCTTAATGCAACTTAAGAGGTAAAGTATCAACATTTTATGGTGATTGTACCAAATTTCAGCCCTCAAACCCTGCCCTCATTAGGTTAGGGGATTATTATGGGGGCATCGAAGCACAATGAAATCTGTCATGGACCTGAAATATGATTCAGCTAAGAATTCAGAAACTGTATCAGACTTGGAAATGTGGAGCCTGGAGATCTAAAGTTGTGGTATTTTGATTGTTTTTTATTTGGCAGGAAAAGGAGTCTGAGTGAATGAATAATTATGAAGTGTGTCTTTTTCTAGGTTGAAAAGTCCCTGCTGGTTGGATATTTGCCTCATGTGATGTTCAAGAGTGTTGGTGAAACAACTGGTTTCTTTGATAAGATATCAAGTGATGGCTTCCTACCATTCTAACATTAAAGACATTGAAGTCATGATACAACTTATATGCTGTTATTTCCTCATCATATTATAGTCATTTCATATGTGTAGTATTTTTGCTGGAAAATTTATTTCGAATATCGTAGCAACATGCAAAGTGCCATTGTCTTGTAGGTATCTGTACAGAGGCTTGTCAACTGGAGATCGCCCTACATGTGATCAGTGCCTTAGGATTCATGAAAAGCTGACTGAGAGAGCTGGTTTGGGATGCATTCTTCGTTGCCTTGCTGACACTGTGAATACTGTCTGAGACAGTGATGTTCACCATTCCCAAAAACAGGGAAGCATTGGCCATCTGTGCTTTACTTTTTACTTTAATTATGTTCATCAATTCATTTTGGAATTAGTGTTTTCTTAATTTGTCTGGTTTTTCATTTAAGACTTTTAAGTTGTCCACATCAGCTTACCAAATTGCCTCTTAAATAGGAAGGCAGGAACAGATTTAAGGGTTCTGCCTCTAGTCTTCTCCCAATATTCGACCAAGCTTGAGTAGCGAAGGAAACATAGCCAAGATAACTACGAATGAGGATTTATCTGCTTGGGATTTTTATTCAAACACATGGCAAACAGTATTTAATTAAGCCTGAAAAAATAAAAACTTATATACAGCATCTTATCGATTATCCCAGAAAATTTGGTTCTTTATAAGTTGATAAGAATTCAATTTTTTTTTCCCTTGGAATTAAGATGAGAATTCTTTGCTTAATCAGTGAGGTTTTGTACATAATTATTATTAACATCATTTGGAATTGCAAACATGTAACATCAAATTCTTCCAGGCATAAGTACTAAGAGAATTATAATGAATAAAGGAATTAATTAGGGGTAAGATTTGTATTCTCTTGGGAGCCTCTTTGTTAGATCCTTGACCACAAGGCTCAATCAAGGCCGTTTCTAAGTTAACCCAAGAAACTGGTTTTTTCAACATTTTTTCCCCTATTTCCAGAAGATCATCTAAATTCTTCTTTGTTGCTAGCTGTAACAGGTGAAGCTAACACCCCGTTTAGTGTATCTCTCGTTATTTGTTAATTATTGAGTTGGGACGACAAAGTTCAATATAATGAGCTTTAATTTCTCTCTTTAATTATGGAAGTTACATGAGCTGTGTAATTAACAATTCAACTTTTTTTTTAGCACTTTAATTTTTACAGTACATTTTAGCACATTAATGATTTGTCTTTATTTTTTAAGTTTATTGATAAAAGTTCTTCTAACATGTTTCTTAAAGCACAAATTAACATTATCACCAAGGTGACAAATTATTTTAATTTGGACAATTATTGAAATAAATGTTAATTTTTATTTTTTTTTAATACTAATTAATACAAATATGAAAAAGGTATAATAATTGTATAGGACACAAGTAAAATAAAACAAAATAAAATAAAAAAACTCTATTGATAATACTAAGATTTTCATCCCATGCTTTGACGCTTTAATGGAGTATATCATGAATGTTCTACATTTAAGTAGTGCTAATTCTTACATCTATATGAACCTGGCCCTCCAGGTCAAGTGACTAGAAAGGTTCATGTCCCCTTCCCCAAAACGGTTTGAGCCGGTCCCATAACAAAATGGTCAAAAAAAAAAAAAAAATTCTTACATCTATATATAGCTAGAAATATCAAGTTGACTACCGATGAGAAATAGTAGTAAGTAGATGTCTTTACTCTTTCGGGAATCGAAGGGCTTGTGACTGTGAAAGAACGGCGGAAAAGAGGAGAACAGAAAGAACAACGTTGTTGCTTCCGGAGGGGAGGGGATTTGCCCAAAAGTGTCGATAGTAAACAAATTGAAGTGCCAATTAAAGCCTTATCTAAATTGTCATTTCCTAATTAATTACTAATTGCTTCAGAAGTTTCCATAATCAATTAATTAAGTTGCATGACCAAAAGAAAGTAAATTCAGATTCTTTAACTAGTTTTAATTACTCTACCATCATCAAAACCATCCACTTTTAATTTACAAACAGCAATTTTTACTATCCTTATCTCCACCCTTTACGAGTAAGTGAGTAACAACCATTTTGCCTTAAAACAAAAAACGTTATCCTAACCACCACCACAAATTCATTAATTATCATTAATTTCCTCCAAACATATTCATACACAACCTTCCAAAACATCAATGTCCATCCCCAACCTCATCATCCCATCAACGGTTACGATCTAGATGCCGGAGCATCAAACGGTCGACGGTGGCCAACCGGCAAACTAGCCCAAGGACTAAACGGTATCGGCCTTTGTTGGCGGTTGGGAGCGGAAGTAGTGGATGAAGCAGCCGCAGAAGAAGACGAGGATTGAACTGCTACGCGTTCACAGGAAGGGCACATGGTGAGGGTGGTGGGAGGGTTCATGTTCATGTAGAGCTGCGGAGAGAGTTTCAGTGCTCGGAGGTCCTGCACCTCCTTCTGCAACCGCCGGTTTTCCTCCGTCAGATTCTCGTAGCACCTCTTTAAATACTCGCAATCCACCTCTGTCTGCTTCAACTTCGTCCTGCAACAAAATCCCACATTCAGAGATTTTATTCTTCTTGGGTAAAAAGACTGAAAGGGACAATTCCTCCCCTAATCAATGCTACATTATTATGGGTACAGAGTTTAATTCCAAAATTGCCCCTGATAAAATGAGAGAATATCTCACCTTGCCCTTCTGTTCTGAAACCAGACCTCCACCTGCCTGGGCCTCAGATTCAACTTCTTTGCCAACGCCATCTTTTGTTTCTGCGACGGAAACGCCATTTCAGGTCAAATTAGCTATATTCCTCAAAAAACCGTCGCCAAAAACAACAAAAAACCGGAATGCTACTCACTCACCGGATTCAGAGTGCTGTGCTCCTTGAACGTGTCTTCCAAAGTCATTGACTGTTCCTTCGACAGTCGGAGCTTTTTCCGTGACCCGTCACCACCTCCGCCATCTTCATCATCACTCCCGCGAGAGCATGAAGCCCTCTCCGCCTCATTCTCATCTCCAATCGCGTCCCTCTCACTCCTCTTCCCACTTATGCTCGAAATGGTGCTGTTCGGCGACGAAACTCCAGCTTCCTCCTCGCATTCCGCCACTGACGGCGCTCGATTCACATCAATTCCTCGCACAAACGACCTCGAATCCGTGTTCCGATCTGCATGTTCATTCCAATATAAATCAAAACCGATTCTCAAAGATTCAGTTGCCTAGATCTAAAAAAAAAAAAATTCCAAACGCTCGAAAAACAATAAAGTAGTACCAGAAGAGTGAAATAGCTCTGTCCAGGTGTTGTTCTGGTGATGATTTTCCGTCACCGGAGAAGCCAGAGACACGAGATTCAACATAAAAGAAGGCTGATTGTTCCGACCACATCCTAAGCTCAGACCCAACCCAAGCTCGTCGTGTCTTTCACTCATCTTCACTCTCCTCTGAACCTACCTAGCCCTAGCTCTAGCTCTAGCTCTTCCAAACCAAAAAGATTAATTCCTTTCGTGTTTGGAGGCTGAGAAAAAAGATGTGTTTGGATTAGATTCTTTCCGAGGAAAAAAAAAAAAAAAGGCAGGAATTTTTGCAACCGAAGCTGTCTAACAGGCTTTCGCTTTGGTGCAAAAGCACGGTGGGCGGATGTGATTATATATAGGAAAATTACACAAATGAGGAAAAAGAAAAGAGACAGATAGGTATAGATTCAATCATGACTTGTGTCAGGGACCCCTATTGGCTCCAATCATGCTCCCGTGGCTTTTTGCTGGGTTAAGACCGCATGCTTAACCCTGGTTAATCTTTTTTTTGGCCACCCGGTTAAGTTTAACTTCAACCCGGGTTAAAAACTTTGAGAGTTACCCACTTTAATGTGTGTTAAGGCTTTTTTAACCATAGTTAGTTCCACCTCGTCTGGATCCTCTTTAATTTTCGCTAAAAAAAAGCTGCTTTATCTCGTTCGTTGACCGTTGACCGGAAACAGCAAAAGCTGATACAGGCAGGCAGCCCACACTCGACGGCGACGCTAGCAAATCCACGCGCCTCCCTAAATCATCAGATCATGATGGGTAAAGGTGGCAGTGATGAAGGTGGGGACAGCACAACGTGGGATGGGGGGGACCCATGACGTGGGCTTACCTTTTTTTTTTTGACAGACAGTGAGGCGGCATCAAATCACAAGGGAAATTGGGGTAGGGCCCGCGTGGTGTCTGTCTGAAGAAGCGCGTGGAGGACAGAGTTCGTCAGGACGTTTTGGGAAAAAAAAACAGCGTGGAGAGTAGGGTGAATGAACATGCAAATAGCATTCATTCAAGATTCGTGTCCAAAAAAATTAATTGTCACATCCCATCAATTGCTCTTTAAATGGTGGTCTGTTTTTTTCTTTTTTTGTTAGTACTAGTAATAAAGTTTGGGGATGAGTTACCTGTTAGGAAAAAAAAAAAAATTAACGTTTCATTGGGGTAACAACAGATCATAAATATTCATATCAGCTTTAATCTTCATTAATTTACACAATGCTTTATGCCAGATACTATAAATTTTTTCTTAAGGATCTTTTTTCCCCCCCCCCCCCCCTTATTATATTTTAAGGTACTTGTTAAAATCAAGGTTTTTAAAATTGGACCGATCATTGAACCATTTTTAGGTTTGATTTTTGGTTTAACCAGTTCAATCGGTTGAATTGATGAACCGATCGATCCAAACAGCAAAGAAGATTTGATGAGAGGAGCAAGCTGCAGGCATGGATTTTCTAATTTGGTGTTGATAATTTTATAATTTTGTTAAAATTAAAGGTTAAAATGAGTATAAGAAAGGAATGGGAAAGGTGAAATTGAAAAAAATTGAAAGAAGATTGCATGAGAAATTGAATCGGTGGTTTTTCAGTTCCATCGGTTTCATTGGTTTTTATCGGTTTTTATCAGTTTTCATTGGTTTTTACCAGTTTTGACCTCAAACGGTTTTTTATATAAACCGAACCATTTTCATCACTAGGTACCAATCCAATCGGTTCAACCAACTGGTTCGATCCGGTTTTAAAAACTTTGGTTAAAATATATTTATTATATTAATTTTAATTTTACTAATTATTTAATTTAAAAAATTCATATAATATGAGTGTTGAAATTATTATTATTATTTTATTAAATTAATGTCCAAT